GGGTGCTCGGCTCGTGGGGGTGCTCCCAGCCCCCTGCCCTAAGCGGCTCATGGCAGGGGGCTGGAAGGGATATGCCCTGTTCCACCCCCTTCCCCAAGGTCCCGTCCCTACCTCCTCTACGGAGCAGGGAGCACGCTGCCGCTCGGCTCTGCTCCGCTCCACTCCCCCTCCCCCTCGCAAGGGCGATCAGCTGATCGGCGCAGGGAGAGGGAGGGGGAGAAGGAGGGGCAGGAAAGCACCACGCTGGGGGAAGAAGCGGGAGAGGGGGGAAGCTTGGCTGCCACAGGACCAAGCTTCTGCCTCCTGCCCCTGCAGTGGAGAGCAGTGGGCAGGGGGGCTGAGTGGGGCTGGAGGCCGGGACCTCGGCAGCATGCCACTCAAAATCGGCTTGCGTGCCGTGTTTGGCACGCGTGCCGTAGGTTGCCAACCCCTGCTGTATACGATAGTTGAAAGAGGCAGTGGTCTTTGAAATACTGATCTTCCAGTGGAGTACTGAGACTTCCATATGACATTTTATATTTACACAGGAAAAGGTCTGCTCAGAATCAACTTCCAGCTTTAAAATATTTTCCTAGCACTTGGCAGAACATGCACATAACTCCGCGGGCATTACCAAAAAGCCCCCTATGATAGAGAAACAGTATTTATTTTATATGTCATGTTGCCATGCATTTCTGTTCTACTCTAAATTCATTCTCCTCTATTAATCTAGTTTTCTCTTCTTTATTTTCATAAACAGTGGTGCAGTGGTGAAGGCGCGTGACAAGTACCGGCACCCAGAATGCTTTGTGTGCTCTGACTGCAATACCAACCTAAAACAAAAGGGCTACTTCTTTGTGGAGGGACAATTATACTGTGAAACTCATGCACGAGCCCGCATGAGGCCACCAGAGGGATACGAAGCAGTTACCGTTTATCCAAAGTGCTAGTCCTGTGCTAACAGACACACATGCATGCACACAAAAAGACAATAACAGCTTAGAGCCACACACTACAACTGACTGAACTTACTGCCTTAATCCAAAGTAGCAGATTTTCTTTTGGAGGTGGGAGTGATGCAGAAGCTTCATTAGCCAGCAATAGCATATATACCAGAAACATTTTGCAAAGTAATTATCTTTGAAGCTGCCAGTGTAATTTAATGGAGTATAAGGCAGCAACTCCCATAACTCAATCCCTCAAAGGGTCAGTCCATTAAAAAAAGCAGGAATTTTACACCTATATTACCAAACTGCAGTTATCAATGTCTGCTTCAGCCATAAAATCATTCAACTATCATTACCCTATGCCACAAAAACAAGCTTTGCTTTCCTTACTTTGATATTTGAGAGTCTATTTGTTTACACCTCCTGGTGCAACAAATGTAATAAAAGACTGGTATTAATTTTATATAATAGAACAGCAAGCACAGTGAAGCTTGCTTATAGTAGAGTAGAATGCATGTCCCATATTTCAATGAACTGCAGAGTGCAAACTACAATGAGAGTGTGTTTTCATTTACTTACCATGAAATTCTGATGGAGACATGCAAATGCAAACACACACACACACACACACACACACATAAATAGCAAAAATGGGAAGGTATGGTCATAATGAAGTTAGATTTGGTAAATTTAAAAATTTTGGCAGCATTTATAATTACTGATAATTAAAATATGTCAAGGAAAGATCCTGCACTAAGTACTTGGTGAACGCCAAAGAAAATGCTTACAGCTGAGCATTTTCTGAAATCCACTAAGGACCAAATTTTCAATCAGGAGTATGTCTAAATATGTATACACTTTTGCTCAGGCCAGACTTAGTCATGCCTATCTTCCAATGTGCATAGCAAGTCTGGATCTTGTGTGCATTTATAGGTATGTGTAGGTACACAACTCTGTACATGTGCATCTGACGAACCATGTGCCTCCAATAGGTATGTGTACAAGTCCATGTACACTTAGGTGCGCACCTATATGAAAAATTGAGCCTTAGTGTTTACAGTAAGTATCAAAACCATAGTAAATTGCTTATGACTGTATTTAAATACAACTTATGCTATAAAAAATTAAACTTTCACATCAAGCATACAAACCTAGCAGAGACATGAAAAACTGAGTACAGAAAGCCCCTAAATATTTTCCCATTCTACCAAAAGATCTTAAATCATGCAGAACACTGAATCAAAATAACATAGTGTGTATGTTTTAAACACATACTAAAAACCCCATTAAAGTTGCATCTTGAAATCTGAAACCTAACGCCTGTGTATTTCAACAATTCTCAAGGTTCCTTAATGTATTATTTCAGAATTTAAATGTTTATAAAATTTGTGCATGTCATCACATATTAAATATAACAAGAGTGTGCATATACAAACAATACACAATATGACTTTTTAAATAAAGATGGCTCCTTAATTAATTTTAAAACACCAAAAATAATGCTTCCAAAGCACCAGGAAGACTATATGTATTATTACTTATTTCCATTAATGAAATTCTGTAAAGTAAATCTAAATTTTCTTTTGAAAGTGGGAACGCAAGGAATACATACAATTCTGAGAAGCTTAAGTGTAATCTATGTTTTAAAATCATAGTTTGTAATGTTCATTTCTTTATTAATAAAAATTGAAAGTAGAAATAAATCTATATAATCAAGATTTTGTATTTTGCCTTTCTGGTATGAAATGAGAGAAAGTGTGTGTGATGGGCTCCCCCCGGGGTGCCACCTGGAACTGGGGTACCACTGAGCCCTATAACCCACCACCTTGGCAAGCTCCCTCTCACCTTGCTGCTGGGACAAGTTGCAAGGCCCTCCAAGCTTCCACTTTCACCAGCATTCACACAGGTAGGGACACACCCCTCTGCAGTCACATGCAGACTCTCTAACCACCAGCCTCCCAGCCTAGGACCCCAGAGCAGTACCGTCCTGCCCTGGTCAAATCTGGCCAGTACGTGGGTTTAATACCTGGTCCACCTCTCCCTAAAAGTGAAAAGGACCATGCACATTTGTGGTAACCAAGCTGAGATTTTTCCCCAGACACTTTAGTCAAATGCACACTGGTTTGGATTAAAACACAAAATAAGTATCAGGGGGTAGCCGTGTTAGTCTGTATCCACAAAAACAACAAGTCCGGTGTCACCTTAAAGTCAAACAGATTTATTTGGGCATAAGCTTTCGTGGGTAAAAAAACTCACTTCTTCAGATGCATGGAGTGAAAATTACAGAAACAGACAAATATATATTGTCATATGAAGAGAAGGGAGTTATCTTACAAGTGGAGAACCAGTGTTGAAGGTCAATTAGGTCAGGTTGGATGTGGTCTACTCCCAATAATTGATCAGGAGGTGTCAATACCAAGACAGGGAAAATTGCTTTTGTAGTGAGCCAGCCACTCCCAGTCCCTATTCAAGACCAAATTAATGGTGTTAAGTTTGAAAATGAATTGTAGCTCAGCAGTTTCTCTTTGAAGTCTGTTTTGAAGTTATTTTGTTGAAGAATGGCTACTTTTAAATCTTTTATTGAGTGTCCAGGAAGATTGAAGTGTTCTCCTACTGGCTTTTGTATTTTATCATTCCTGATGTCTGATTTGTGTCCATTTATTCTTTTACGTAGAGACTGTCCGGTTTGGCCAATGTACATGGCAGAGGGGCATTGCTGGCACATGATGGCATATATCACATTAGTAGATGTGCAGGTGAATGAGCCTCTGATGGTGTGGCTGGTGTGATTGGGTCCTATGATGGCGTCGCTAGAGTAGATATGGGGACAGAGAAGGCAACAGGGTTTGTTACAGGGATTGGTTCCTGGGTTAGTGTTTTTGTTGTGTGGTGTGTAGTTGCTGGTGAGTATTTGCTTCAGATTGGGAAGCTGTCTGTCAGTGAGGATTGGCCTGCCTCCCAAGGCCTGTGAGAGTGGGGGATCGTTTACTACAAAAGCAATTTTCCCTCTCTTGGTATTGACACTTCCTCATCAATTATTGGGAGTGGACCACCCTGACCTAATTGGCCTTCAACACTGGTTCTCCACTTGTAAGGTAACTCCCTTCTCTTCATATGACAATATATATTTATGCCTGTTTCTGTAATTTTCATTCCATGCATCTGAAGAAGTCGGGGGGTTTTACCCACGAAAGCTTATGCCCAAATAAATCTGATATTAAGGTGCCACCGGACTCCTTGTTTTAACACAAAATAAGTTTATTAACTACAAAAGGATAGAGTTTAAGTGATTATAAGTGATAGCAAACAGATCAAAGCAGATTACCTAATAAATAAACAAAACCGCAAACTGAGTTTAACATTACTAGATAGGCAGGATATGAATTAGCAAATTTTCACCCTGAGTGATAAACAGGCTGGCAGATTCTTAAGGCACAAGCTGCCTTGGCTTTGCAGCTTGGGTTTCCCAGGTTTTCATACACAGGCTAGAAATTCCTTTAGCCTGGGCCCATCACTTCCCCCTTGTTCAGTCTTTATTCCTCAGGTGTTTCCAGGTGTGTTGTTGTAGGGAGAGTGGGGTACCAACATGATGTCATTTTCCCCCTTTTATATCTTCTTCCTACTTGCTGGAAAGCTCTTTTGATGTGACCTGGGTCAAACAGTTCCCGTTGTGTAGTGCTGTCTCTGAGAGGTTTCTATCGTACACAGTTCCTGGGGTAATCCTTGTGCTTGTGTGCATTTCCTCAATAAGCCATTAACATTGTTTGGCCTTTTTCTTGTTGTACTTGAAAGGCTGCTTGTGGGTGCTTTCAACCTCACAACATGTTTCAGTAACACACACATAGCCGAACTTCATAACTTCACATATGACGATAGCACATACAATCCAACAAGATATTAATGTCTAGCAGATGAAGACTTTTAGTATGAAAGCTCACAAGGCATACTTTGTACAAAACATATCCTAATTACATGACAGTGATGAATATTGGGGTGCCAGGGTGTCACAGCGTGGACTTCCAGTAACTTGACAATATCAGAAGCATGGCATATGCAGCAGCACAGCAGAGTACATTTAAAATTTGTTGAGGGACTGGTGGAGATTAAAGTCTCCAGGATTTTATTTGGGGTGCCTGAATATTAGGAAAATCTTTTTAATGATAAGGATAGTTAAGGACTGGAAGAGGTTACCTAATGAAGTTGTGGAGTCCCTGGAATTGGAGGTTTTCAATAACATGTCTGACAAACACCTGCCAGAAATGGTCTAGGTATAAAAATTGTATTAAAGCTAATGTTAAAAAAAAATTATATAATACATAGGTTGAGAAAAAGAGTGTCTGTACATCTGAGTATAGTGCTTAGATTATCCACAAATACAGAGTTTGTTTTTAAAAGTCACATGATACATAGTACAAAATCAGCAATAACCCAAATTTAGGTGAATAGATTTAGCAATACAGTTTAGATATTAGAATCCGAATACTTGGGTACATCATTCATGAAAAGTTGTACAGAGATTTGGTTGTGGAAAGTTAGACAATCAGGGGATGGATTAGATGATCTTTTGACATCCCTTCCTGCTCTACATTTCTATGATTGATTCTATTTTTCTGTGTAATCTGGGGCAAGATTAGCTTTCTAAATCTGTGGGTTTGTACTCTGAGAAAAGAAAGCAAAAAATTTTCATTTACAGCAAAAAGTCCTCCATCTTTGCAAGGAGAGAGAAGAGTGGGAACCTGAGGGTGCATTTCAAAGCAAGAGGTCAGCAACTCACTTCTCCTTCTCTGCCCAGACATACTTGAGTGTAAAATTGGAAAAACTAACGAGTAAGTACATATGAAGGTTGTCAAGTTGAAATAAAATTGAAGTACATGACCTCATGCCAAAACATTTTGGGGAAGTTCAGTGGCATTGCATCATGACATGATGCTATTTTGAGAGAAGGTCTGAGTCTGCAAGTGACATTAACAAATCTGGCAGGTGATCTTATCTAATTGTGAGTGTCACCACTCAATGTCAAAGATTTAACAGCAATGTAAACTAGAGGAAACAGGTTTGAAAGAAGGGGTTCCACTCCCGACTGAATTAAAGACCCTGGATTAGAACATAGCAGGGAGGGGGGGGAAATTGGATTTCTGTCCCGCAGTCTCTGCCGAATTCCAATCTGAGGGAACTAAATATAAATATATTTAAAATTTAAGTGGCACTCTCCAGAGCAATCCAAAGGCTACATTCTTTTTTCTCTATGGTGTCAATAGTTCCTGGCATATTTCCCTTATAAAATGTCTAACTCAAAAGTGAAGACCTTTATCCACTAGCTTAAGAATGGTGTAGCCAGTAATCATGATAGCTTAATGCTACTATGCCACCGGTGTCAACTATGCACAAATACTTTTTTTAAAGCTAAGAGCCCTGTAGAGCCATAAGCATTTATTTTCAGACGGAGAGTAAGATGCTAAGTATAAATGTTTGTTATCTGGACTCTTCAGACGTCGATCAACAGGTGTAAAAAGTATTCCCCAGCTATGTTACTTTTGCATAAACAGCAAAACTATTTTGAGGCATATGAATACTTAAAATAAAGCTGCACCTTTCACAATGTACAAACAGCAAATAGT